TTAAAACTAGCTGCCCATCATCGTGATGCTCCGGTGCTCCTCCCAGCACACGTTAGGCCACATGACTGGTTTTGTTTTCCCCTCAACGTTTTCTCTCCCATTTCCCCTCGACACCCTTTGGCTGCACCGCTTTCTCTCCTCGCCCTTCTGCATGCCACCTCCTGCCTTTCCCTATTTTCTCTCCTCCTGCTCTGGCTTAGCCTCTCCTCACCACCTCTTGCTGTTCTCCCTTCTGCCTTCTGTTGTCTCACTGTGCTCATTTCTGTCACTAGGACCCCAAGAGCTCCCCTCTGCTTCCTCCGGACCTGTTAAAGAGTCTGGCTGCCTTGGAGGAGGAGGAAGAGCTGATTTTCTCTAATCCTCCTGATCTTTACCCAGCTCTGCTGGGGCCTCTCGCCTCTCTTCCTGGACGAAGCCTCTTTGTATGTATTTGACGTAATACTGCTGCTGCTCACTCTTAACTGGCGTCTCTTTCTGCTGTGAAGTTTTATGAGAAATGTGAAATTCCTTTCTCTTCCCCCATCCCTCCTGTCTACTTCCCTGCCTCACCCCTGAGCTAGCGCGAGAGCTCAGATCAGCTGGAGATCCCCAGAATAGCTCTTGGGCTGAATCCAGGCCAGCGGGTTTGTTCAGAAATTAACAGTGGGTTTGGGTTTTTTTTCTAAGTACAGTCCACAGGAGAGATGTCGATGCGTTGCTTAGTGCACTCGCTCCTCTGCAGTTGGCACAGGGTTAGTAATTAGAAGGAGGGGGAGCACAGTGGAAGGTTCCATTGTGGGAAGTCATCAGAACAAGTGTGACTTCTTATAATCCGTGTATAAAAATTAGATAAAAGCCAGGGGAGAACTGCCCTACTAAATGCAGAAGAGACTGTAAAAAGCAAGATGGTTTTAAGAGAGAATTGTAAGACATTGGCTAAATAATCAGTGACTCTAATAGACATACAGTCATTTTTGCTAGGCAGAGATTTCTTTCTACATTTCTGTATTAAAACCTTCCTGGCTCACTAGCTGGAGGGTCTTAGAGCTGCTGAATTTGTAAATTGCCTCTGAAAACGCAGTACACCTTTCTAGTGTGGCTACAAGCACGTGCGTTAAATACTGCAATTTCAGATGAGCAGCAGTGACAAAGAAGAGTTATTTGTGACTCTACTTGAAATCTCTGGTTGATAAACCCTTTCCTCAATTATTTCCCGTGCCATCCCAAGGAGCCACTAGCCAAACAGGCACCCCTTTTTGTCTCATTAGGTACCTTTGTTAGGAAACTAATAGCTGCTTCTTCAGCAGCTGCCTTGGAAGCTCCTACTGTTGGTGTCTGCTGACAAGTGGAAGGAGGTTCTCCTCTGTGCAAGCTCAGTGGATCTGCAGAGCATGAATTTTGTCTGTCTTTTAAAACATGCTTTCAAAGGACCAAGTCATCGCTTTGAAAATCTAACAAGCGAGGAGCTGCTTGCCAAGAAAATGAGGCTGTTTGTCTGAGGTTTACAGGATAAAAGCAAAGATATTCCAGATGTCAGGAGCGTGTTAGGGAGGGGAGGCTAGTTCAGGTTTTTTGTTGTTTGAACAATACATTTAAAAACATCTGACGTGCTGAGCTGGTACGAGTGCGAGAGGGCTTTTATTTGCAACAAGCCTACAGCTTTCATTTTGGATCACACACAGTTTTACTTATGGCTTCACTAATTCCAGGACTTGCTGATCCTGATCCTAAACTTAGTGGTGTTCACCATCCACCAGCTGAGACTTAGAATTTTGCTTTGGTTTCTGTATTGATGATAACTGGTCCTTTTTCTTCCCTAAATAGATTTGTTTCAGAGCCACTATTTTTCACTGCTTAATCATAATAAGAGCTGAAGAGAAAGCTGAGAAACAATGCTGGAAATAACAGCTGTATCAGAGGGGGGCCTAGAGGATGGACAAGGTCCATAACATCTTAACGTGGAACCCCAGGGGAGTTTTGGAACCTCTGTTTTATTTGTCCCATTTGCAGTCCTTTATAATGAAAATGAGAGAGTGCTCAGTGAAACTTTTGCTGTTTAATCCCTTGAAAAATCGCAGCACTTGGCTGCTCTTACTGTCTAAGGATGTTTGTACAGCAGGGATGCTCTCAAAACTGAAAAATGTTCTGTCAGTAGCAACATACAAGAGTCTAATCATGTTTGAAGGAGTCCTCTGATCATCGGGAAGGATCCTGTCTCATTTGTACAAGGTTTTACACAACCATAGGGGTTTTTTTTTGGCAGGAATCTCCCCTCTAGATGTATCAGATTATTGCACTTAACGATTGGAAAAGCTCTTCTGACAGTGGGGTTTGCCTGAGGCTCTCAGCTGTCGCAATTGTCAATTTTTAGATATTAATTACAGTTAGTAGGGAAGCTACTGGTTTTCTGCATTTGTTAGTTTGCTCCCCGTGTCCTCCAGGATGCTGGAGCTAAAATACAAGGAAGGATTAAGATGTGACCAAGAACACCTTGGCAGTTTCTGACACCGTACTTTCCTCTTGCTCACTATACTGAGCACTAACTGCTCTTTTTTCCTTTTTTGGTTTTTGAAGAAGTCCCTGCTGGAAAAACCATCAGAACTGATGTCTCAGTCGTCGTCTTTCCTGTCCCTTAGTGGCTTTTCTCTTAATCAGGTAAGTGAGGACCAACATCTGCAGCCCTTTGCTGTTTGAGCTTGCCGTTAAACTAGGTAACGTGGCAGAATTACAAGGATATCCTCTACTTCAAACCAATGGGGAACATGAAAGAAATCCATATGGATGCCTAATTTTGGTCTGTACCAGCAAGATTATCTTTGCCTTTGTCAGTTGTCTTCCCAAATTCATCCTAGCTATAGTTCTGCAGACGTACTGTTGAATCTTGCTGAGTTCATGGGCCCCTTCCTCTTAGTAGAATCATGGAGTTAACTGAAAAGGTGCATCTCAAAGTGTTATGGTGTGTAGCTTTTTATTCCTGAGCAATGGATTACTCTTTCTCTTCTAGAGAACTGAGCAGAGTCTTGATAACCAGTTTTGTGAGTACTGGGAATTTAAAGATTTTTTTTTTGTGAAGGCTTTGCAGACCAGCCAGGGGAAATCTGTCCGGGTTCAGAATGCGATGGACTTCATGTTAAATAAAATAGTCAAAGAAGAGGGGGCTGGAGAGTGAAAAAAGGGAAAATATTTTGCTCTATAGTTATTTCCTATGTACAGTCAGTGTTTGAAATAAATCCAATACCTAAACTCTTACTTTTTTTTTTTTTTTCAGGAAAGATATCCAAACAACAGCATGTTCAATGAGGTATATGGGAAAAACATGAATACCAGCACAAAAACAGAAGTCACCCCTTCGGTTGCCCACCAGGAGACTTCACTATATTCTCTCTTTGAAGGGACTCCGTGGTCTCCATCCCTTCCAGCCAGCTCAGGTAATCCTGGTGTGATTTTTCTTGTGTCTAGTGATTTAAGAGAATTTGAGTTGATTCTGAACCTACTGCAGGTTAAATGTAACTGGAAAGTAAAAAAAAAAACCAACCTGTGTGACAATGTCTGAAGGTTTCTGGGGTTTTTTTCTTTATATATTCTCACAAATATGAGGGGATTCTGTAACTAATACAGTGTAAGAGCCTGGATTTTAATTGAAGTAGTTGAGCAGGATAAAAGTTATAGTAGGCATGAAATCCTGATATCTCCTTAACTTAAGATTCCTGACAAGCATTTGGGAGTAGGGCTGTAACTCCAACACCTGTATACTTTCAGTGTTGCTTCTGTGGAAAACGCAGGGAGAACTGGATTTCATAATGTAGATAATTGAAAGAGAAAGAAACTATATAGTGTGGAGGAAAATATGACATTTGGTTGGTTTTTTACTGTTACGCAGCCTACAAATCAAACCAGCTTCTTCCTTCGTAATTACCTTAAAGGCGTCAAACATAACTATTATGTCCTGATTTTCCTCTCACTAAAAATCCAGAAGAACTTGAGGGGAGAGGGGGAATTAGCTGAACCTAAGAAATGAGTGGATTTAAAATAACACCTGCACTGGATGAGAGTTTTGGTTGCGCTGAGGCTGTTGCAACCAGCCAGGAATAACGGTTGTGGGTGAGATGGCTGGAGCTGCAAAGTGCTTTAATTCTAGCAGGATTTATGGCTTTCTCTCCCTTTACCTCTTCATTCCAGACCACATAGTCTCTTGCCACCCTGTTATGCTGTGTGGTCTTCAGGCATCATTCCCTCCCACCTGCAGACGGGCTTTTCCGTGCTCGCTCTCATCCTTTGCTTGGTATCGGGTTCTGGTCTGAATTGCTCTAAGACCCATAGAAGCATAAAACATTCCCAGACTTGAGAGTTTAAGTTGTAAATTTGCAAACTCCTTGAGGTCTTAATGTCATTTTTTTATTAGTTTGTGAAGCTTGATCATGTGATTTTTATTTTTTTTTCTTGGTTTGGGAAAAGCTATTCAGGACACATGGAGAAAAGTCACTTTGGCTTAACCAGTCCTCTTGAGGTTTCTTGGGTTTTGGTTTTTCTGGTAGGCAGACGTGTACATTAAACACAGTCGTTGTGTTCTTACATAGGCACAAAAAATTTTCACTCAGAATTTAGGATTTGCATTACATTGGTGTAACGGAGGGAATAAAAACTGACCATCAGCATTGGAGTAAATTGAGTGATGGCAGAATTTGCAGCACTAAGAAATTCAAAATCAGGAGGCTCCTGCTGTTTCTGCTGACCTTTTTCCTCTTTCCTTGTAATCACCAGATCATTCGACACCAGCCAGCCAGTCTCCTCACTCCTCCAACCCCAGCAGCTTGCCAAGCTCCCCTCCAACCCATAACCACAATTCTGTTCCCTTCTCCAACTTTGGACCCATTGGGACTCCAGACAATAGAGAGAGGAGAGTCGCAGACCGCTGGAAAACAGATAAACCAGGCAAGTGTTTGGTTCCGGGCTCACACGAAGCCAACTGTTGGGTGTTCCTTCTGTGATGGTTTTCCTACATTCCTTTGAACTTGTCTTTCTCTCATTTCAGCAATGGGAGGGTTTGGTCTGGACTATCTCCCAGCGACATCATCATCTTCGGAGAGCAGCTGGCACCAGTCCAGCGCTCCCAGTGGCACCTGGGCGGCCCAAGGTCCCCCCACTATGGAGGACTCCTCAGCTGTGCTTATGGAGAGCCTGAAGGTATGTTTGACCAAAGCTGTGCTCAGGAACGGTCTCTGGGGCCAGAAGATCCGGCGATGGGCTTTAGCCTGTTGCAAGCGTCAGAGTTCAGTGGCAGAAACCAAAGGTTTTTCCTGCAGATTCACTTACAGAGGTGGTGTGGGAGGTGCGACCAGTGCTGGAAGGTGTCACCGTTTTCCAGTTCTTGCTGTTCTAGAATGTTTTGCAGATCAAGAGCAAGCTGGCAGAACTGGAAGAAATTATACCATTTGCTTTGACTAGTCTAAAAATTAGTAATCGTTAATGTGGGATGAATTTTTATGGTAGTGAGGATTCTGGAGGAGGATAAGCTTCTTCCAGAGGAGCCTCTCTTCAGAGGGCCTTCTTTGTAGTCTGGATAACTTTCATGATAAGCCAGGTATGAGAGTGATAAAGAGAAGAGGGAGAGTATAGAAAACTCTCTCTGCTTTCTCATCTGTGAGAGGGGGGCTGTCTAATGCAAGGAGGTGCTAGTGTTGTCTGTTTGTTTTTAGTCCATCTGGTCCAGTTCCATGATGCACCCTGGACCCTCAGCCCTGGAGCAGCTGTTAATGCAGCAGAAGCAGAAGCAGCAACGTGGACAAGGCACCATGAACCCGCCGCATTGAGACAAGAGGTGGCAACCCTTGCAAACGAAGGCTCCATAAACCATGGCATGTTGGGTTTGCAGGACTGGCCCACACGGTCCTGCGCAGGTGGCAGCCCTCTCTTCTGTTCCTTGCCGTCAGGAGGGCGTAAGTGCTCCACCGACCCACTGAGTGTGCACAAAACGTCTGCAGTGCAAGAAAACAACATCAGGAACTCTCCCATCCCTGGGCCCTCTGGAAGGAGAGAGGAACTGCTGTTTGGCTCACTCAGTAACCCGATATCACCGCCTCTCACCTTCTCCATCGTGCATGTCCCCAGCCACATGGGAAGTAAAAGCTGAGAACGAAGGGCAGATGGGAGAAGCCAACGAGAACTTCTCAATCCTTTTCCTCTCTTTGGGGAGATAAAATAGGAATCCATTAATGATTGCTTTGCTGACTGAGAATGTAGTCGAAATTACTCCTAAACATCTTTATTACTATCTCAGTAGTAAGATCACACTGAATTCTTCCGTACACAGACGTGCTTCGTAGTCAGTGTGTAGCAACGAAAGCCCCAGTTGCTGCTCCAGTCCGAGGTGGTTGGTGACGAGGTGGGGCTCTGTCTCCTGGGCTAGCGAAGGAGTTCCATGAAGGAGAGTCTGGCACTTGACACCACTTCACCTTTCACCCCAAGGCTTTGGCTGGCCCTTGGGTGGGTTAGAGACTCCAGCATGAAATGCCCTCCTCTCAGTAGGTGTTTTCAGCCGTAATGGGTGACGTGGGGCATTGCAGCACTCTGCTGGACAAGCAAGTTAACTGCTCTGGGGTTTTAAATTAATGTTTGATTCCTGTACATTTTACTGTAGCATAGTGGCTAGCTCTGCACAGGGCAGGCTAGTCTGTGCATTCACAGCCTGACTCATTTTAATAGGTAGGTAGAAAGCTTTCAATGGTTTTTGGTTTTGTTTTTTTTTTTTCGGTTTTGTTTCTGGTTTTGTTTTTTTTTTCTTTCTCTCTCCATCCTCCCATCTTCGCTGAACGCTAGTAGTTTCATTACCAACGTGCAACATCTTGCAGAAAAATAATCAGGGGTCCAGCAGGGCTGGGTAAAGCCGACAGTCGGCCTGGACAGCGCGAAGGGGTACGCGCCCCCGCAAGCACGAGTCAGCTCTGCAGAAACCCGTCCCCCCGCCCCCAGCTGCAGCCCCAAACTTTTCAGTTCCGGAATGAAATTCAAGGCACCCACGGACACGCGTGTGTAAAGCCACACACGGAAGAAAGCATAGTGCTGTTCATAGATGAAAAGGTGCAGAAGGGAAAAGGAAAACGTTTTATTTGCTATTTATTTAGGGGGAAGGAAGACTGGAAGCTTCGTTCAAGAAAAGGACAGTGGTTTCGTTAGGTTTCCCAGGGAAGTTACGGAAACGATCTCAA